GTCAATCATACAGTTCAAGCAATGCTGTTTCAATTGACGGGTTAAGTGCAATATTTCCAATTGCACCTGAAACTTCGTGCAGTCTGGCCTAGTATGTAGTACTACCATCCTGCATTTCACAATGCCGTGAGTATAAAATGCAAGCACACCAAAGATTTTGGCTACTCCTATCATTGAACTTCAATCAGAGGTAAACATGGGATTCACCTATGGCTTTTGGACTCCGTCCCAAAATTGCAGATCTCGTAGATTGGTAAGCCGTAATACGTTGGTGTCACTGGATGGAGACCCGGAAGTTGAGCTACCATCAGCTAGGTAGCTCAGTCACAAGCAACCGGGAACGGTGGATGGTCGCAAAACATTGACACTAACTTGAGTGATATCAGGCCCGAAACTCCGGATCAAATGGATGGCACTTCTTTACTTTGAGCGAGAGCGGATGACGAGGTATTGTGCTCCAAATTGGTTGTTTCTGTATCATCCCAACTTTTTAATAGACGTTAGTTTCCGGCACAATGCATGTTTAAAAGTCTTCCTAGATCAGCTTACACACTTGAACAGCTGAGCGTGTATTTTAGGTGATCTGCATATAAGATGCGAGACAACGTTGAATATTGTGTGGAAAACCATGGTGTCCGAATAGAGAGGACTAAATTATGTTGACGGTTTATGGTATGGCACAGCCACCACACCCCATCCAGTAACATACCCAAATGGTCTCACGTGGCTTCATGCGGGTACACTATGCATAGGTTTTTTTTTTCAAAATATCTAGGTATCGAACTTGATTATGATGTCTTACACATTCAGCGGCTATTCATTTCGGGTATGGTTTGACTCAATGTCCCTGAATGTATACCAATTTAAAGGTTCAGCGTTTCCGTATTTTTGCCCAACATAGGCATAGCGTATTCCTTTGCTGAGTGCTCAAAATTATACGCGTTATATGATTATTAAATTTTGCTAACTGGACGGGTTTATTATATTTGGCGTGCACTCCAGTTATTAAATAAACGTTGCACATTACCGTAACTGGCTAATAAATCCGTTTGCATTTTGGCTTTTGTTTTTGGGCGGTACCGTGAACATGGTGTTTCTGTCTGTTCAAAGTAGAAACATTATAAAAGACGTAATCTGGCTGAACGA